ATAATGCGACTTTTGGAATTATCGAGAAAACCCTGACGCCGACAGACCCACCCCAGTTTGTTGCGGCGTCAATAAAAGCAGGACCCCAGTCGACAGAAATCAGTTGAGTTGGAGTGGAGTTGCAGCTGGACCGCGGGCAGGGATAGAGCCTGAACGCGGGCATCGGGCCCGATTCACTCGCCCCTTTGCGGGCAAGAGAATCCTCAGACAAGAAATCCTTCCAGCCCAAATCGAAGAAGAAGAAGATTGCTCGAAAGCCGCAGAGAAGTTACAGCCAAGTCGAAGATAAGAAGAAGAGCTGCAGGCCAGACAGGCCGAAGAATTGCAGGCAGACAAGAAGAAGAATTGCAGGCCAGACAGGCAGCAAGAGTTGTGGCAGAGTTACGGCAGAGTTCAGCCCCGGACGGCAGCGAGAAGAGATCACCTCGGACGACAGAGAGTTGCGGCTGAGTTGCGGCAAAGAGATCCTTCCAGCCCAAGTCGAAGACAAGAGAACTTCCAGCCTAAGTCGACGAAAAAAAGAAATACAACTCAAGTCGAAGAGAAGAATCAACTGCGAATGATCGATAGAAATTAGCCCCAGTGTCGAACCAAACCACACTCCGACATACACAATTCTAAAGAGTAGGCAATTCGAAATCTTTAGGTTGTGTGATAGAAGCTTGTGCCATAGTCCACAGAGCGGGTCGGGAATTGAGAACAATTTTGTTTTTATGTAACGGACATTAAGATATAAAAGGTTGTTACCCTTTTTTTCATCAGCAATCTTTTTGTCTCGTGAGTTTATTTTCTCTTTTATTTGTGTTTTGCCACCCCGTCGGACTCAACTTGTATCGGCCCCAATCCTGCTGGTCCCGTCTGTCTAAGATCTAAACACAGCGTGGGTAGACAGACCGGAGATCGGTACAGTTGCTTTAGTGACCAGGTATTGGAAGCGAGTTGGGAAAGGCGAGGCTGGTGATCATCCAACCAAGGGGTTTGAGCGGCACGCTTGGAACCAGGAGGAGCGACCAGGAGGAGCGACCAGGAGGTCGACCAGGAGGAGCGACGTCACAGTTGGCGCCGTAACCAAGGATTCGACCCTGGGCCAGGTGTGTAACCGTCACAACATTTCCAGTATGATCCGGTATATTTCAGCGTGCACGTGTCACGACGTGTTTTTTTCTTTTAGTACCACTTAATATTGGAGTCGTCAAATTTTCTGAGGTTTGGTTTTGAGGTTTAATAGTGAGAGACGAAGCCGTGTCTAAAATTTGTTAGGTCTGCCGGCAGTAAAATGAAAACAATGGTCCGTTAGTTGTATGATAGCAGCGGTTGTAAGGAAGTAAGAGGTTGAAAAGGCCAGGCGTTACTGCGATAAAAAGATTAAGTAGTTACTGCGGTGTAACTTAAATAGCAAAGGAGTAAAGTAGCAGTAGTCATAGCAGTAATAGTAGTAATATATATATATATATATATATATATATATATATATATATATATATATATACATTTTTCGCACGTATTGAATATTACGAGTAAGTTTGCCGATTTGGCATTCCATTTTACATGTTAGTATGTTGTGTGGATATGCTTTTTTAAACGTCGGGGTTACCAATTACAGAAGTTAACAAGTTGCGAGTTTCTGTGTGTTTTAGTTGTGGCGCATATTTACATAGGATAACCAAAGAAGAAGCATACAAAAACTTGTTTTTCTGATACGGACTGTTTATTTGTTTTTTATTGTTGTGAAAAAAAAGATTTCTTAATGTTTCTTGAGTATGTCCGTTTTCTTTTTTGGTTAGAAAGTAAGTAAGGATGAAACAGTTAAAAATGGCCGAACTGGAACAACCAAAAGAAGTTATGTATTTACTATACGGTTGAAACGTTTAAACATGGTTATGGGCTGTCCATTTTCTTTTTCTTGGTCCAGAATTTACGGTAAGTAAGCATTGTTTAATTAATCCAGAAAGTAACTTGACGCAAAGAGTTGTGATTTCGATGTCTAGCTACAGCAGAAGGAGCAAAAATTTGGATAATTGAATTACTAAAGGGAATTAACTGAAACTGAGATAAGAAAAAAAAGATATGGCACGTGGAATTAGATCAACCCACCCCAGTGGACTAAATAAAGGGTTCGGTTCGAAATTCCAACGTATATCACTTGAAGAAGGCCAGAGCGAACGACGGCTGAAACGTCGTAGATATGAAAATAAAAATGAGGACGACAGTCCGTACGATGTAAATCGTCGAAATAGGAAAATAGATTTTCTCATTTTCAGTGGCTGTTATACTCTTTTCACTATTGATGTGTCTTGCTTCCTTGTCTTTTGTTTATTTGTTTCTTTAGCGGCATATCAACTCCTTATGGGTCATTTAATGTCGAAATTTAATTTTCTTGCTAACACCAGTAATTATCTTTTAAAAAAATATAATTTTTTTCTTTTTTGTTACAAAATTTATTGCTTGTAATTTTGCTACAATTTTTTTATACTTTAAGTGTTTTGACCCCAATTTGTGGGGGTAACTATTTGCCCATAGCTGGGGCCTTAGCAGTTGCTACCAGCCCAGATCAGGGACATGGGAATAATTGCTGCCGGGTGTACTTTTTCGTCATACCCAGGACTTGTCTTTTGTTTTAGGTAGGGCGTTACGTTATCATCTTGATTATATCCTCATGCTACCCCCTTTGATTTACATGTGCTAACCATTTTAGTCATTGCTGATGTTGAAAGTGCTCAAGTGATGTGATTTCTGTTATCTGGTGTCTTTTAATGGTATAAAACTTTTTCAAACTTAATCCATTAACTGACAAATTTTTTTAATGCACATTTTTGGCCCAGACAGGTGTTTTAAGAGTTAATTTATTCCTTAGGTTTAATTTCAGCAGTTACCATTGTCCTTTTTATAGAAACTAGAACATCAAATATATATGTGTATAAAACATCAAAAAATCATATTGAATAGAAATAATAAAAAAAAAATACTTTTCAAAATAGTCATTATTTTTCTACTCGTGAAATGTAAAATTGCGACAGAAAGTGTCTTCTTACGGCTAATAATAAGAAAAAACTTTAAAGGCTAAGTGTTGTAAAATATACCTCTGTAAATGCAATGTATGTAAGCAATTCAATGTAAATACAAGGAATAACATGTAGTGAGTTTAATTTTAACAGATTCCCAAGTGGGGCTCATGGCAGGTAATGAGTTAATATACTCGACTTTTTAAAATTCAATTTTTGCCATTTTCTCTTTATTACTTCTCATCGGTCTTACATCTGGTCTGAAACATCGGGAAAACGTTACACGTTCCACCTTAAAACATTCCAAACTGGTACAAGCGAATGAATAGCTAATTTCAACATTCTAAGTTATTCTGTTCATATTCATATCACTTGAATGACAGAATAAAATTTTATGATGGAATTGCTGAAGGATCGAACATTGTAGCCGACCAATAAAAGCAGAACACACCAATAAAGCCCTTCCTGACACCATTATGTTACCAACATCAAAAATACCCATCTAAGAAAGTTGTTCATGGAGTATTTCATAGAACCCACTTGAATGAATCAGAGTGCCGATCAGAAATCTAACAGATAACCTTCTCGGTGAGGATTAGCTACAATCTGATTTGATACCCACCTATAAAACATCAAATCAATATTACAAATAGGAGTAGATAGGTTCGCCTAACGTCCGGTTCGCATGCTTCCTCAGTCTTTTGAACAGGAGTAGATGTTTATTCCTTATGGTCACTCATCTAGTTACTAACCAGGCCCAACGTTGCTTAACACCGGTGAACGGAGGAGAACCAATGCTTCAACGTCATATGGCCGTAACTCTATAAATATTTAAATATTGGGGAAGTATTTTAACAGTATTTCCTTTACGTCCTTTATGTCGAGGAGTTCCTGCAGTTTCCCCTCTCTGTTTACCATCAGTATCATGCAAATGTGTGTTAATACTGTTTTTTTTACTCCTTGCTTCTATTTTGAGATATATTTTAATATTTTTACTCTTTTATTTTTCTATTTTCTAAACTTCTGTTCAATGTTTTTTTTAAATCAATAATGTCACAAAGACGTAAGGGGCTACTGAGAGTGAAAGAGAAGGAAAATACTTTAGAAGGAACTGGAGAGCCAATCTTAAACAGGGAACAAGGAATAAACCTCTACTCCTGTTCAAAGGACTTGGGGAGCATGCGAACTGGATGATAGGAGAACCTATCTACTCCTATTTGTAATAATGAGTTGTTATTTTATGGATGTGTATCAAGAGAGCTGAAGGCATGTTAGAACAGCAAAATATAATTTTTAATATCCTACAATGTCATAACAGAAGATCTGATTAAAAAAACGTAAACAAAAAGAAACTCAAGAAAGCCGGTTACACTAGATACCGAAAAGATATATTTAAAAATAAAATCAAATTCAAATTTAAAATTTTCAGTGCTCCTCTCTTTCATTCGGATGTGTAATCGCGTAACGTAAACGTGTCTATAAACATATAATGTCCTAAAGTACTTAATGCACCGACCAAAAATTTTTGCACACTCTTACAGATTTCTTTTAACTTGTTCTTGATATATAAAAATTTATATATCGTTTATTATATTGATATAATTTTATACAAACACGGATGCGTGTATGTGTATTCGTATATGTATCCATAAATTTATTAACATTGAATATTTTAGTGTGTACTGAAATAAAAAAAAACACTAACGTCTATCATATTAGCTGAAGATACACACACACACGTAGATTTTCATAAAAAAAAACCGTGAATACATATCTTTACGTGCTTATATACATTTAAAATGTGTTACCGCACCCTCATCCTTATAAAAAGTTATTCTCAATTACTCATATATTTTTATATGAATGCATGATTCTGAAAGTATATTTCAATAGGAACCTATGTGCGCATGCGTGAGCATATGCAATGTGCTTATGCATGTGAAAGATTAGCGTCTGCTTATTATGCAAATGAGAGCTGACCTAATTTCCGTGTTGTCGATGAAAGTCATCCATCAACGGTCGACGGAGAAATCTGTTCTTTTGCAACGACATTCCTTTGGACACTATCGTGTTTGTCTTGTCACTGAAAACGGTACAAAGAATTTTTCATACTTTATTACAGTTTTTGCGATAGGTTTTTCCTTTTCCTTTTGTTCTTTTCTGTCGTACTTTATTTTTTTTTCATCTTTTTTTATGGCATATCGTTTTTTTTCGACTACTTTCATTTTTTTTTCGTTTTTCTTTTAATTTCTTTTTTTTCCTTACTCCCAATTAATTCAGCTTTCTTTTCTCTCTTTCTTCCAATATATTTTTGGGTTTTATTTTTCTCTTCGAATATTTCTTTTATTTTCACTACTTTCTTTTTTCACATTCTTATTCTTAATTTATTTATTTCTAATGTTGTCATCATTTATTATTTCCTTTTCTTTCCTTTATTACTCTCATCTTTATCTGTCGTTTCTTTTTTAACCAGCATTCTTCTTTCATTTATATATTTAGTCTTTTCATATTCTAATTTATCTTTTCTTTCGTTTTTCTCTACTACATCTTCCTCCTCTCATCCTTTCATTCTTCTTCACATTCTCTGATCTTTCTTTTTGTTTCTTCCTTTCTTTCTTTCTTTCTCTCTTTCTTTCTTTCTAGATATTGTTTCCCTTTTCTTTCTTGTATTTTTTCTTTCTCCTTTTTCTTTCGTATTCCCTGATTTTTCTTTCTCCTTTTCTTTCTTTCTAAATATTGTTTCCCTTTTCTTTCTTGTATCTTTTTTCTGCGTATTCCCTTTCTTTCTTTCTTTCTTTCTTTCTTTCTTTCTTTCTTTCTTTCTAAATATTGTTTCCCTTTTCTTTCTTGTATTTTTTCTTTCTCCTTTTTCTTCTGCGTATTCCCTGATCTTTCTTTTTTCTTTCTTTCTTTCTTTCTTTCTTTCTTTCTTTCTTTCTAAATATTGTTTCCCTTTTCTTTCTTGTATTTTTTCTTTCTCCTTTTTCTTCTGCGTATTCTCTGATATTTCTTTCTTTCTTTCGCTTTTCTTTCTTGTAGTCTTTCTTTTTCCCTCTTTTTGCTCCTACATATTCCCTGATGTTTCTTTCTTTCTTTCTTTCTTTCTTTCTTTCTTTCTTTTACTTTATATTTCTCCCTTTTTTTTCTGCATATTCCCAAATCTTTTTCCTTCCTTCCTTCTACATATTTATTAACCTTTTCTTTCATTTCTATACGCCTTAATATTTTTCTTTCTTTCTTTCTTTCTTTCTTTCTTTCTTTCTTTCTTTCTTTCTTTCGACTTCTCCATGTCTTGACTCGAATCGATCAACCATTTTATGAAGAATTCTTTCCAAGTATTGCCATGTACAAGATTTTCTTTTTTCTTTTCAACTTTATAATTATTGAGATGAACAATGAGCTTGTGACGATGACTCAACTTTTGACCGTACATTTGACTTTGTTCAACTCTCCAGGCGACGTCAAACTTCCAACATCAATTTTTTGTCCTTACTTTATTAACGATTCTTCTAATAGAAAAATAAAGCGATATCTTGAACGACTTAAATAATAGCAGAAAAAATATTTCTAAAACAACCATCAACAAATCCGTGACATATTTAAAGAAAAATATATGTTTCGTATTTTGAAAGATGAGAATTCATCTGAGGTTATTTATATATCCATGCATATTTTTCAACCCATTTTTTGAAGAAAGCCACAAAACATTTATATTGCATGCATGCAATAACCAATTAGCCAAACTTGAGTTTCATGTGATTTTTTTCAGTGAAGTTAATTGTCTGTGTTAGAATTTGGGATCGTTCTTCCTACATGGAAGTGAATGCTGGGCACTTTACTCACAGATGAAAACGAAACTTGAGGCAACAGAAATGTGGTTCTATAGAGGGTTCCTGAAAAATTTCAGGAAAATGGAGACAAAAAGGACGCTTATACGTAGAATCACAAAGAGACTTGAAATTTTTAGGAATCATAATGAGGAAAAAAGGCTTGGAGTATTTGACACCCACAGGATATATTGAAAGCAAGAGGAACAGCAGAAAGTAGCGAATAACTTAACTTACATACTTCTGTAAATGGATAGCAGATGGAGAGATGATAAAAAACCAAAACTTACCAAGAGATACAAAAAAGAAGAAAAAAGAAGGAAGTCGTGAATAGATATGGTCACCTACCGCCTGCAGCGAGGTGGGATAGAGAAGAAGAAGAAGAAGAAGAAGAAGAAGAAGAAGAAGAATGTTGATTTTCAAATTTGGCAACCTATATTGCGAGCAATACAAAAATATGGGAAAACAGTGTAAATGGGTTATCTCCCTTTGGGATTGATTTCTTACTCGATAAAGGAAGACATATGCAACTGTTGTCATATAAGCAATAAAATTATCGATAAATCAAAAATACATAGTGATAAGGACAGGAAATTTTAAGATACTATCAAAGTGAGAAGATAGAAAATATCAAACACAAAATAGAAGGGGTAAATATCAGTATTCTGGGAGTGACTATTTTCGATTTTATCCGCATTTTCTCCAAAGTTTATGAAAAACGTTAATATCTATGACCTCAGTATATTATTATTATTATTATTATTATTATTATTATTATTATTATTATTATTATTATTTCCTTTGATCTTTGGTGTATATTCATTTTTATCCGGATGCCAACCAGAGATCTAATGTCAGAAATGGCATCATGACATTTTCCATTGAGCAATTTCGAAAAAAAAATCACACATATTTTACATATATAAAGCTCTTCTTAGGTGTGGGTTCTACTTGTGAGAATATTTTTCTTGTATTTCTCTAAGACATGGACTACCAGGAATCCCTCCAATTATTAGTAGATCAATAAATAATGGGGACTTCATAAGTGACGTATACAGAATTATATATACAGAGAGAAATATGAAAAATAAGTAGGATTAATATTAGATAAAAATATGAAGGGATTTTTTTTTGCATACTGGCAACTACTGAAAGTGAAGCTTTTCAATATACAGTATAACTTGATGCGATAGTAACGGGATACTGTAAACCATAAAAGATTTCGGGATGGGTAAGAAATAAGCTAAATATCCGACAATGATGATATATTCAATGGACCTATCTTCATAGTGATGCCAAAGAAGCCAGGTTTAATGAAAAATCACCTTAAGGAACCAAATAACTGCCTATAAAAAAAAAATATGACTAAAACTCGTAGCAGAGAGAGAAATTCAAACGCCATAATACCTATATCTATGATTCATCGATTACCTGGAAATATTTGATAAAGTACGGCACAATACCTACTTCGACTGCTAGGAAAACACAACGTATATGAGAAAGGGACGAGTTAAGCAAGGACACAATAATAGAAAGAGGTTGATTTACCTCACAGAATTTAAGTAACTTATACCATGAGACGCCCGTCTGAGGGTTCGAAGATCGACCAGGGTGGATATAATCTTTATGTGGATGACATTATGTTGATGGCAGCCTCGAAAAAAAAATCGTCAAGACCCATAAACAAATTAGCAAAAGGAAACGAACAGAAAGGACTGCCATATTAAACCAGAATTTCGGGTCGTCAGAAAGAGAGATGGAAAAAGGTGTGAGCTTCGAATTGGAGACATCGAAATATTCATGAATATAGAAAAATGAAATGCTATATAAAAAATCTAAGCCCTGTCAATGTTTACATAAAATCTGTTTTATTTGGTTATAGTCGTTATATTTTCGGTTTTCGTCATGTGTCTCTGTTTCGAACCTGGTAAGACACTAGGATTTTAAATGCTACCTTCTCGACTCGGTAGAGTGTTTCTATAAGCATTTTGAATAGATGGATTTGTATGTATTTCTTACCTGTGTCAATTGACTACAGGTAAAAAAAGATTACGTTATGTTGATTTTCAAGGAAAACATGACTTTCTTACCCAAGAAATTATTTTTGCTTGTATTGGTTTTTTGGGCCTTGTACAAGTAAGACTAAGTTAAACACGGTCAAGATATTTGCTTACATGGACTTATACGATAAAGAGATTCTAAATTTAACTTTAAAAAAATAAAAAAAAAAAACTTAAAAATAATTGAAATTAGTTTAAATTAGTAAATATCTGTGAACAACATTCTAGTGATATGGTTTACAGGATTTCACACAAATCCACTTGATTCAGATTCTTTTGCTATATGACATGCTCCTTATATGCCAAGACGTAGGTGATCACGGCTCTCCGTAACCTCCTATTCCTTGTAGCACTTCGCACCGTTTGTCCTTTACAAAGTTTCTCACACCCGAAACCTGTATTCCCACAATCTTGTCAGGTATGTAGCCCACTCTCTTCCCCTTCACATTTTATTGAGTTGTCTCGTGAGTGTTGAATTCTCCAAACCGCCTTTCCTTATTATATATCCCCAAAACTTCAGCTGATTCATTCTGAATCCTTTTTGTTTCCATTTTCCTTCACACTTAACAAGTATTTGGCAAAATGTTAAGTAATGAATGTTTCATTTAGCGATTTAACAGTATTGTTATTGGACTTTATACTTGTTTTACATGGATTATCATTATGTAGACAACGTTAAAATTATGTGAATATTTTATATATTTGTTCATTTTCCTGGAACCATAGTATGAAGAATAATGATTGCTTCATTATTGGAGTTTTTCATCGCAAGGCAGCTAGACGATAACTAAATTTTAAATACAAAAACGAAAATATTCATATGCCTTTGTAAAAACCTTTAAAATATGCACGTGATTCATTTTGGCATGACCCTGAAATACACTAAAAAATGTAATATGATTGATGCAAATGTGTCTTGAATTTTTTATTCATGTAAAATTTACAGTATATTTTTTAGTGATCAATGCATTTTTTCTTGTTTCTCTATTTCACAGCGATACTGTTTATTCCATTATAAAAAATGTACTGGTGGCGTAACGTTTATCATAGCAGAATGTGGAATCGGCGAACGGGGCTCAAGTTCCGGGTGAGTCTATTGTGTTCACTTTCGCACTTAGGAAAGACATGTCTTCTCCTCCAAATAGTAAAATAAACTAGGACTTCTAACCAGTCTAGGAGAAGGACTACTACGAGATGAAAACCGCGAAGAAATCATTAGAAAATCACTCGAATGTTTTTCCCAACAAATTATGATAATTCATGGATAATAAAAAAGGATTTGTGGAGAGCCATGATAAGCTATGTCATTGTAGCTATAGAGAAGGTGATAATCCCCTTTTGGCTGAGAAAAATAACATGCTTCAAGTGAGGACCGCTTAGTGACGTCACTTCATACAGTGACGATTGTGGCTAGTCAGTCAGTTTGTTTATAGGAGCCAAACCGAGCGGTTGCTTTTTAAACCTGGGCCTCTCGACCCAAAAAGCGGTTAATCTCCTTCCCCCAGCAGTTTACAAACCCATGGCGCCATTTCCTTTTGGGATATATCTTAAGATATATACAAAGAAGCCCCGGCTCGCAGTCCCCAACTTTGGAAACCCCAAAACTCGCCATTTCCCCTTCATAGAATATGTAATTGCCTGGGACATAGCCGATAAATCCGGCCTTTTTGAATCTGGAGTCATAAACATGGCTTCTCCAGACAGAGAAGTATCTCCATATTTTATTTAAGACTCCCCCTTTTTGCTTCTCCCCATGCTTTGCTTGCTGTGTAGATATATGTGATATATTATTCTGTGTTGGACATATGTATATATAGTTTTGTATATGTCTTAGTAGTATAAAAGTCTCATTGACAACAAAGCATATTTGTCATTCCTTTTTCTTTTAGCCATTCCATCCGTGAAATACGATGTTATTATATCACGGATATAACAATGCCTATAAAGGAATCATTACGTACTTAAGTAGATAGATCTCTGTCGTTACGATTGTGTTTCGAGAAGTGTTTCACGAAAAGTGCGTCTGAAGGTGACCGGTGGGAACGTTACGTCGTACTTGGGATGGGTTCCCATCCAAGCTCTATTAAAATAGGCTGCGTCTGATTGCATGACGCTGGACAGGTGTTGTCTTTAAACAGAATCAATGCTCGACTTTCTTGACCAGAAAATATCTTTTTGCACCAATGTGACATTCAAACGCGCAAATTGCTCACTACAAAGGAAAATTTTGTCCACATTCCGACAATTTGCATTAATCAATTTGAATCTGACCAAACGTTTTTTTTAAAAATCAGAATCACCCCAAGC